ATCTGTCCAATCAAAACAGGCTTTCAACTGTTCCCTGCTTTCATTTGTCCATGTCCTTATTACTTTCTTTTCTGGTTGACTTCCCTTCAGTTTGGTCTTATACACTGGTATCATATTCACAACATTATGATCAGAGTTCAGTATTGGTGGTCTACATTTAGTCACATAGGCTCCTTCATCATTAACAAAGCATTTGTCCAGGATATTGTCTTTTCTGTTGTGATCCCTAACATTACATTACATTGCATTTAGCTGACGCTAACATACTGCTGGAACCCAGGTAACACAGTCTCCAGGCGACATTGCTTAATGTCCCCGACCACTATTGCTGGTGCATCGGGGTGGCTGAATTGTAGCTCGTGAACACAGTGTCCTCTGCCGCTGGGAGGCACGTAAACAACAAACAGTCAAATACACCCGAATTCTCTAGGCAGATAAAAGGGTCTTAACGTCATGCCGAGAATTTCTATGTTGGGATTGCAGGTTTTACATTTTACTGAGTATAATCGGCACCACAGATAATTAATATACACACAAATACCGCCTCCTCTGGTTTTCCCCGAGTTCGCATCCCTGTCTGCTCGAACAAGGGTGAATCTGGGTACTTCAAAGAGAGATTCAGGCATTGTAGATTGTAGCCAACTTTCCGTGAAACATAATAAAGAGGCCTCAAGTAATTCATGACAGTACCTTGTGTATGTCCTTAGTAGGGTAGGGTACCGAGAACCGGTTCCGGTTCGGAACCGGTTCCAACATTTCGATTCCAACGGCATCATTTAGAAATGTGAATTTCGGTTCCGCTTTCCGATGCCTGAGGAAATGTTTCTCGCCGCTCTCCGTAGCCTACTGTATGACTGCAGCGGGGCGGGAAATTTAGCGTTGTACCTACACTTCCTACAGCGTAACCTGAGACCAGGGCCGGCCGGTCGCACTAGCGTTATAGATGTTCGCCCAGGGCGCCAGATCTGTGGAGGCGCTGCGCTGACAGCTCTGGGAGGAAAAAAAATTTTTTTTGACCATTGGTGCTCATCCTAATTTTCAGCCTTGATGTAACAACATTCATTGCGAGTGAGCGTGGAGGCGAGCGAGGGAGAAAGGGACGGTGCACCTGTACCAGCGCTGTTGTTATTAGCATCTGGTGCTAGCTGCTCTAACGGATATTAGAAGAAGATGTTTCTACAATGATGTGGAGGGAGAGTCCTCTCCAGTCAGACTGAGAGGCTGATAACTTCAGCTCAGTGAGGTAAAGGACTCTTGAGTGTTTAGATAGTTCACTTTAGTCTAAGTTATCTCAGTGGGTCTCAAACGTTTTGATCACAATTTATGTAAACACATATTTCCAAGGCACTCCTTTATAATTATTGGGATAAAACAGGTTTGAAATCATTCCAATGTATACTATAGGACAGTAAACCAGACATATCGTTTTAAACTGGAGAGATAAAAAAATATGCATAAATAAAATAGTAAAATAAGATATGAATGAACAACAAAAATAAAACACGTTACATGTATTTGTTATTGGCTATGGTAGGTTATTGGTTATGCTCACATACTTATTTAATTATTAAAATGTAAACCGATCTTTTTCATATGGGTGTTTAGTAGGGGTGTAACGGTTCACAGAAGTCACGGTTCGGTTCGTACCTCGGTTTGGAGGTGACGGTTCGGTACGGTTCGGTACAACAAGAAAAAGCAAAAAAAAGTCCCAAATGCATAATTCCAGGTTTGTTGTTATTTATGATTGAACAGTAGTGCAAGTTTCAGTTTAAAAATAAAGAACTCTTTTTTGAATAATTAACTGTATTAAACAGTTAAAAACAAACCATACACAGTACACTCAGATGGCCATATTATCTATAATGGCTGATGTCAAACAAAAAGGTTTCATCAAGCTGTAAAACTAAAAAGAATGTCTTGAAAATATGACATCATAAATAATAAGAAAGTGTTTCAAGAGCGCAAAGTCGTTGAAAAACATATGCCAAAAGCTTCCGTTATTTATTTTGGTCTCACGGCTTTCATGTCTATTGGTTTATAAAAACAGAGGGGATCAGCTGTTGAACTGCTGTTGTCTTTTACCGGGCTCCGGTGATTGGCCAATCTGGGTGATGCCTTCTGATATGATTTAGCATGTTTGGCGTGTGTTTCTATTAGCATACCGCACCACTGTAGAACAACGGCGACACACCGTCCTCGTCCGATCCACCACTCGCACACTTAATCGTTATTGTAGTCCACAGGGAACCCGAAATGTTCCCACACAGCTGATTTAAAAGAAGCAGGTGAGTTCTAGCTCCTGTGTTATCTGAAATCGCCATACTAACTTTTCTTCTTCTTGTATTTTGTTAGTTTTGTTGTTGTGTTTCTTCTTGTTCTTCATTTGTTGTTTAAGGGCGGCTGGCAAACAGCTTTTAGGCGCAACACCGCCCCCTAGATTATATATAATGTAGTGGATACTGCCCTGAATGACACTTTTTTCCCACTCATAAAAAAAAGGCGTATTCGTCGTGTGACTGCGTGTGCCGAACCGTGACGTCCGAACCGTGACGGTACGGGACGAATACGGATACCGTTACACCCCTAGTGTTTAGAGTTGTACCCCCTAGATCTAGTCTCTAGTAATTCTGCTTAAAGTGCACCAGATTGAAGCATTTTACTTTAAAATGTTCAAACATGTCTTCCCGGTATGCCTGAGAAGGCAGATATGCTTGTTTTTCTCAACAAGAACTGTTTTTAAATGGGGGGGGGGGGTTCCTTTAAAAGTTGCACTGTTGTAGCTTCAGTGGTTCTCAGGTTACAGTTACATAGCAGTGAATATAAACAGACTGATTAATGTGAATATTACTATAAACTAACCTGTGTAAAGGTTTCTCGAATAAATGTAATTTTTTTTGGTGGAAGAAGCATGTATCATTTTTTTACCCTGCCCCTCAAAGAATCGGAATTGAGAACCGTTAAGAACCGGAATCGAAAAGTAGAATCGGAATCAGAATCGTGGAAATTCAAACGATACCCAACCCTATTCCTTACGGCCCGTCCACACAGCGGCGTGCGTTGACGCTTGCCGGCGGGCGCGTCTGACACTCGACCAACAACCAATCACATGAATCTCCCGCCGCTGACACACAAGCAGCGGTTTGATTGGCTAGAGCTTGTACTGGCATATGATTCGATTGGCTGACGCTTCTGCCGAGGCGTCAAAAGTTGAACATTGCTCAACTTTTGCAGCGAGCCACGCCAGCAACGCTCCGCGTCGTTTCCCACGATGCAGTTCGGCTAAAAGTGACGTCACCCCATTCAAAGTGAATGGGCAGAAGCGTTGGAAGCTTCAACACACGCTGCTGTGTGGACGGGCCGTTAGTGTGTCCACGTTATTGCTCAATGAGCGCAGGTTTGTGAGAATGATGGATGGAAGTAGTGGCCGGCTGAATCCCCGCCGTAGGCGATTCTGAACACCTCCCCTCCTTCCTCCCCTCCTTTTCCTGGTGTTTCTAAGCGGCTCCCGAGGGATTTCATCCAATATCGAAGAGCACAGGTGGCATGGTGTATTCGTAGGAGGCCGATTGCAGTGTAGCTCTAGCATAGCAGCTCTAGCATAGCCTCGCGGCTGTATCAGCGTAGAGGCCGGGGCTCCTCGCCATACATGTTCGTGCTGTCACTCAGGTGTGTCTTGGAAAGTTGAATGGCCAGACATGGTCTGCAGAAGGCAAATGTAATCCACATGATCAAAAGCATGGTCTCTGAAAATGACGTTTCATACAGACACGACAAAGTTTAGACAATAATTAGACCAAAAAAACTAAAACAAAACACAAGACGAACGGAGCATACTGAGACTCTGAGTGACAGGATGCCGTCTCCCTCTGTCTCCTGTATACCAGAGGTGGGAGTAAGTCATACATGTGCAAGTCTCAAGTAACTGGGGTGAGAGTCAAGCAAGTCAAGTCCTACGAAATCCTGATGAATAACCCCAGTTTCCCCATTTAAATCAGTTCAAAGACAGTGGTTATGAAAACTAGAGTTTTATTTTCAACATTAACAAGAATGGAGAGTGGGGCTCTGAAATCATAAAACAGGTAATAGGGGGAATAATTGGGCAGTTCAGTGTGTGTGTGTGTGTATAGAGGTGCATGTGGTTAAAACGTAGCAGCCTGCGGTTGCTCGTTAGCTGTTCTAATGAAGGTAAACACAGTGAAGGCACAGCTCTTGGCAGCTGGTGCTGCTCTTCTCAGATTCTGCCGAGTTACACGTTACTGCCTCCTGGTGCTGCAGAGATTTCATGAAGTGAAGGAGGTTTTTCTTCTATAAAATAGCTGTGGGCAGCAGATACTGTGAGAGTCACAGACATGAATACATAGGTCAAGGCAGACTGGTTCACAGACTCTCCTGATTTGCCAATCCGGTGCTTGAACAAATAACTCTACACCCCTGGCCGAAATGTCCCTAAAATGAAGTCCGAGTTTGAAATATATCTCAAATAATGTATGTATATTTCCCCACATAAACATAACAGTCTGCAATGAAACGGCTGTCTCCTGTGCGCTCCAATTCCTACTTTCTCCTGCGAACGATATACTTTCTCACTCTTTGTTTTTTCTTTCATTGCCCTCTAGGGGTACACTACAAAAACAAATGCAAATATTTTATTTTAAAAAGTAAAGTCCTTTCGACTCATCTTTCTCAAGCCTAAGTCAAGTCATGAATACCAAGTCAAAGTCAAGTCGAGTCTTTTATCAATGTTAGTCAAGCAAGTCTCAAGTCAAAATATATGCGAGTCAAGTCATGTGACTCGAGTCAAGTCATGGGACTCGAGTCCCCCACCTCTGGTATATACTTTGGTTAGAATATTGCTGTATTACTGTATCAAATATAATAAACACAGTTGATAAGTAGTAATTTGTTAACTCAAGGTTTATATTAAGTGAGTTTTTATTGTTAACTTGTGTATTTATGCTTTTTATATTGACTTTCTCTCTTTCTCTGTCGGTCTGTTTTAGAAACCGAAAAGAAGAGAGAGATGTCACAGCTGTCAGCAATGTGACAAATCCTTCACAACATCTGGAAGCTTAAATTGCCACCTTCGTATTCACACTGGAGAAAAACCGTACAGCTGTGAAGAGTGTGGGAAAACGTTCACTACATCAGGTGCTCTCCAATCACATCAACTATTCACATGGGAGAAAAACCGTACAGCTGTGAAGAGTGTGGGACAACTTTCACTACATCAGGTGATCTAAAAAAAGATCACCATATTCACACTGGAGAAAAACCGTACAGCTGTGAAGAGTGTGGGAAAACTTTCACTACATCAGGTGATCTCAAAAAACATCACCTATTCACACTGGAGAAAAACCCTACAGCTGTGAAGAGTGTGGGAAAACATTCACCAGATCAGATGCTCTCAAATCACATCACCGTATTCACACTGGAGAAAAACCCTACAGCTGTGAAGAGTGTGGGAAAACATTCACCAGATCAGATGCTCTCAAATCACATCACCATATTCACACTGGAGAAAAACCGTATTGGTGTGAAGAGTGTGGGAAAACTTTCATTACATCAGGTGGTCTCAAATCACATCTTCGTGTTCACCACACAGGAGAAACACCATAGTGTTCATTAATCTGCCGAGTAGTTTCTCCAATAATCTGTTTGTTTAATAAAATGTTGTGACTTTAAACTTTGATTGGGATGTTTTTGATAGTTCCTGTTGAGTTAGCAGTCTGTTTTGGTCTAAAATAAGAACCAATGATTCATGTACAAGGCTCAACGCCAGGCTGGCAACCAGGCATCAGCTGCAAATATGGTTGCCATTTTCAGTCAACTTTTATTTTAAATAATTAAAATACTATACAGTTATACATCAACTTAATAATGAAAAAGAAACAAAAGAATGTTCAAATGCTTTACAATAAGTAATTAACATAATTATTTGAAACTTAAGTGGTAGTAAACTTGGCCACCCTCAATTGCTGGTATACTAAATACCAGTAGTGCAGCTGCTGTCATGTTCTTCACAGATCCCCCAAAAATGAAGTGAGCAAGTCACTAGTTTCTTGGTCATCCGTTGTCTCCCTTTCAAATTTGGGTTTTCTTGACCTTTGTACTGACCCCCACCTTAGATCCATTGGCCCTTCAGCATTGAAGTCTTGGATTGGCCAGACTAATACATTTCTAATGTTAAATAAATTAAAACCATTCACAGTTAAGAATTAGATATTAATTACTATTGCTGTAAATTACCTTTTTATATGTCTAAATATATTTAAAATGTGTTACCTTTTTATTGAAGTGATTATATTTGTATGCCAATATTTTCCTATGGTAAAGTTTCGTTTTGCACTTTTATTTTGGTAGTAATGAGATCGGGACTCTTATTTTGAAGGAACTTTTACCTGAAGTGAATGCACAACGGAGCAGAATGTTTCGCCTCCCAAGACTTTACACATTTCGCCTTTGCTTTTCGTTCGGGTTCATCTTGCGCTTTATCAGTTGAATCACTTTGAGCATTCGTTTGAGATGTTGAGGAGTTGGCCGAACTTTTTACCCCACAGTCAAACAACTTAATTTGCTTCGCCATTTTTTTGTAAAACAAACACACGGCGCACCGCGCACGCGAGTAAACGTGCATTGCTTTCTGGCTCCGTAATCACACCAATGCACGTGCAACTTAAGTATCAGGTTCCGACTGGTCATAACAATAATTAAATATCACTCTTAATACAACAAATAATTAATATTTATGTATTTTGGGGTGCACATTTAGCTGTTTGCTGTCTTTATTTATTTATGTTAAAAACTGGTTGCCACTGATGGCAACCAAAGGCCAAGAAGTGGTTGACATTTTTTCTGAAAGGTTGCCAATGGCAACCTGGCAACCGTTACTGTCGAGCCCTGAAGTATCTAGAATATATTTACGATGTTTTCAGTTTGATCCTATTCTCTTGTAAAAATGATCAGACTACCAAAAATAAAATGGCCTTAGAAACGGACTTGCAAACCTGCATATCTGTTGTGTTTTGCAGCATATTATAAACATGTCATTCCCTTATTTTCAAATACCACAGGTTGTGTAGTGATGTATTTGAGGTGTACTGTCCACATCGCAGACCTGAAGTTGTGCAGTCAATGTATGCGAAGTGTTCAGGACCTTGGTCTCTGAGACTCAAAAAAACCTTTCTCGCCTACCTGTCCACTTTGCATACCTGAGATCCTGTAGTCATTTCTCAAAGATAGTGTGGCATATAGGGAGGTGCAATCTCCTGATGATATAGACTGTATTATAGTGGAAATCTGCAACCCTAGAAAACAAGATAACATTAGGATAATCAATTTATACAACCCATGTCCAAATCTAACCACTGATATATTTAAAGACATAGCAGAATATAAACACAGGAAGGAAGTTTGGTGTGGTGATTTCAATGCACACAACAGTCTATGGGGCAGCAACCATACAGACAGTAACGGAAATATAGTGGAAGAAATGCCTGAGGAAAGAACACTAGTATGCCTTAATGATGGACATGGCACAAGAGTAGATGTACACAGGGGGAAAGTTTCATGCCTGGATCTGACATTAGTGTCAAACTGTTTGGTTCATACATGCGAATGGTTTGTTTTGAATAACTCCACTATAGGAAGTGACCATAATCCAGTGCTTACTAAAATGAATAATAATGTGTATATATATATATATACAGGAAGGAGGTGTAATAACCAGGTGGTGCTTTGCTAAAGCTGATTGGAGGAAATGTAGGATATACCAAGGGTAGGAAGAAAGTGGTGCCATGGTGGAATGAGGAATGCAGCAGGGCTATTAAAGAGTGAAACAATGCATTTAGAGAATTAAAGAAAAACATGACACAAAATTATAAGGGAAACTTCTGTGTCGCAATGCAGTGGGAGTCACTGACTCAGGAAAGAGACACGGGAAGAGCAGGAGCTTTGATGTCAAACACTGATGGTTTATTTGGAGCTTCGGCCGGAGAATTCACATCACAAGTCACAGCAGCCACGATCTGACTGCACGGTAGAGTTGCCACGTCAATTCTGAAGAACCCAGACCCATGTATTTAGCTAGTTCCGAGAGCATCATCAACATGCTGCATAACAAGATAAAATCATAACACCTCTATCAGCTGATGTCAACAGGCAGGAACATAGAATCATAACACCTCTATCAGCTGACATCAACAGGCAGGAACATAGAATCATAACACCTCTATCAGCTGACATCAACAGGCAGGAACATAGAATAATAACACCTCTATCAGCTGACATCAACAGGCAGGAACATAGAATCATAACACCTCTATCAGCTGACATCAACAGGCAGGAACATAGAATCATAACACCTCTATCAGCTGACATTAACAGGCAGGAACATAGAATCATAACACCTCTATCAGCTGACATCAACAGGCAGGAACATAGAATCATAACACCTCTGTCAACAGGCAGGAACATAGAATCATAACACCTCTATCAGCTGATGCCAACAGGCAGGAACATAGAATCATAACACCTCTATCAGCTGACGTCAACAGGCAGGAACATAGAATCATAACACCTCTATCAGCTGATGCCAACAGGCAGGAACATAGAATCATAACACCTCTATCAGCTGACGTCAACAGGCAGGAACATAGAATCATAACACCTCTATCAGCTGACGCCAACAGGCAGGAACATAGAATCATAACACCTCTATCAGCTGATGCCAACAGGCAGGAACATAGAATCATAACACCTCTATCAGCTGACGCCAACAGGCAGGAACAGGAAGACAGAACACTGAGAGCACAGAAGCCAAGGTTACGAGGTGTGTGTGCTCCGTCAGGACAGTTTGAACTGATATACTGGGTCAAAGTTATGGGCCTTGGAAAATATTTCCCCAACAAAAATAATGTTATAGAGTATCAAAGGAAGGACAATAAAATACGCAAAAAAGAGAACACGGAGAGAATTGTGTTCTACCATTGGCAGAGGAGTAACATTAGGTGATGTCTGCTCCATGTTTAAGCAGATTAGGTGAGAAAAGGAAATCATTAAAATGCCAGCTTTTGGTTGATGGGGAGAGGCTGGCAGTGACAGATAAAAGGCAGGTATGTTAGGAAGGACACTTGCAGCAGTACATAGTGGGGAGCATCTCAGTGATATTCATAGGCAGCAAAAACAGCAGTTACTAGCAGAGAATGAAAACGTGAAGGAGAAGAGACAGGATAATAGGTCAGCTCTGGATGTGGAATTAGTAAGAGTGAGTAATGATGTGGGAAAAACATTGAAAATGAAAGAGATAATGGCAATAGTGTACTTTGACATTGAAAAGGTGTAGGACTATGCGGAGGGATTGATTACTGATCAAATTGAGTAGAATGGGTATAGAGAACCGCAGTGACGCGTCCTAAAACCCGGAAGTAAACTCCTTCCGGTTCCTTCGTCAAAAACGCAATGCAATTTCTCCATAGGATTTTGGAAAATAGCTGGAAATAAGGTCTGTGGTTGAGACACATTTAAGAGACGGATCACGTTTTGTTCAGCCGGATAATCTCCACATGTCTACCCTACTTTTATCATTTTATAATCATAAATCTAGTCGCCAGAAGCAAAATGCTAACGTTATGCTATAAAGGAACTACAGCAGGGTCGCTGCATCAACGTCACGCCAACTTAAGATCCATATTCAAAACTACAGATTCTAAATGGTACGAGTTGAAGCGTTTGTTTGAACAGTCTGCAGGAGGCAGGAACTTGCTTTCAAGCAGAACAGGGCAAACAAACTTAGAGGAGTGTTCACGTGTTCGGCGTAATGACGTAAAACGGCCTGGACAACTTCTGTAGTCCTATTCAGCCACTTGTTAACAACCATCGTTTTTCAGACACGTAAACTCTTCAAAAATCACCAGTGGGGTCACTGCTGATGGATTTAATGTCGTAGAACAAAACGTGATCCGTCTCTTCAATTTGTGTCAAACACAGACCTTATTTCCAGCTATTATCCAAAACCCTCTGGAGAAATCCCATTGCTTTTTGTTGAAGGAACCGGCAGTGGCAAAAATGCTAACTTACTTCCGGCTTTTAGGACACTGCGGTTCTCTATTGGAGGGAGAATGTACAATTGGGTAAGGGCCTTTTTAACAGACAGGACATTTAGAGTAAAGGTTGGAGCAGATATTTCCAATTATTTAGAAATAGAAAATGGAAAGGGAGTGCAGTCAGTCCAATATTATTTAAAATCATGATTAATGACATCATGCTTAGGATTAGAACTAATAAAAGCTATAATGTCCATTTATGTTAGTCTGCTATATAAACTGACCCTTAAAACCTTTAAATGCATTTGTCATCTTGTTGACATTTATTTTGCACTCTTAAAATGTTTGTATTAGGATTTATCTTTAAGATATAACTTCTTGAATGAAACTGAATATATAGTATAGTTGATTTCCAGTCAAACCCTGCCTGCTGAGACCTTTTTAATGAGAGCGTATAACAGTGGCTCAGTTATGGATTGAACAATGCCCTTATTATCCGCCTTTGATCATGGACATGTACAAACGGGAGGCATCGATTTCCTATGCGAACGTTGACAAAAAGACAAAAACTTAATTCACTGACTCGCATTGAGAAGGCCATGTCAGTGAGTTTGCTTGTGCTCGATAACTCAATAGTAGTTTGTGTGTGCGTTTGTGTGTGTGAGTGTGTGTGCACATATC